TTTCTCTTAGCATAGTCCAGGATGCTTAATTCCACTTTAACTAACTAAATAACTACCTCTAAAATTAAGTAATCTTTTTCCTCTGTTGAAAGATGACTTGTGTTTTCCATTTACCAAATATTTTTTTAAAATCATAAATCTTTCAAGTACTCACTGGTTTAATAATACTTCAATGTTATTATGAGAGTAGAACAGCTGAAGGAACCTTGGAGTGTGCTAACTCTGCTGGACAAATTACTTAACCTCTCCAAATGCCAGTAATGAATCAGACAGTGTTTCATTGCTATTCAAAAGGTTTTCAGTGGCCAATTTTTTCAGAAGTGGATGGGCCCATCCTTCTTCTCAGCCTTAGTCTGGAAACTTCACTGAAACCTTTCCACTATGGGTGACCCTGCTTATATTTGAAATACCAGTGACATAGCTTCCAACCTCACAGCAACATGCAAACCACCACAGTACAACAAACTGACAGAAGAGTGGATTGACACAGTGATTACAACAATAGGCTCAAGAGTAAGAAGGCTTGTGAGGATGCTCTGTTCTATAGTTCACAGGGTTGCTGCGTTATAACCAACTTGATGGTACCTAACAGCAACAACTCCAAGTCCCACTTTCTTCTGCAAAATAAAATTCAATTACTTTGTGGGGTTGTAAAGAGAATTAAGGATATTATATTTAAATATTGGTGACAGTAGTTGGCACACGGTAGGTGCCTAATAAATGGCATCTTTAGTTTTTATCCTCATTCAGTGTTACTGTATTTTAACCTACACCTTATTATAGTGTTATTCCAAACTGCTGGTTTCAAACTATTAGTGGATTGTGAAGTCAGTATATACAATTTTGAGGCACAATTAGAACATTTTAGTAACAAATAACAGAGTAGCATAGAATATATCAGAGTACTTTACACATAATAAAGGCAAGTATTTTACTGTGAAACTTTTGTTCAATATGTAACATATAGACAGATGATTGTACATCATGGTGTAAAATGTATTTCTTACTATGAATTGTCATGAAAAAAATCCTGCAAAAAATAACTTTTATTGCATACTTGTCTCTTAGAGTGTGTAAAGTCCCTTATACTGTATTGGCCAAAACACCTAGGTTCCAATCTCAGCTCCACTAATTACTTTCTCACTATGCCTTCTTTTCCTCATCTGTGGAATGAGGTGGTAATCAAACCTATCTCGTGAAAGTAGTATAAAAATTATATGAGTTAATAGATCTGAACCAATTAGCAGGTGCTCAGTAACAACTGGACTGATAAGCAGCATCATGATAAATGATTAAAAGATTGAAGTTGTCAAAGATGGCATATTACTTGGATCCACATTCAACACCCATGGAAGCAACAGTCAAGAAATCAGACTACGTATTGCACTGGGCAAGTCTGCTGCAAAAGACCTCTTTAAAGTGCTGAAGAGAAAAGATGTCTCTTTGAAGACTAAAACCAAACCAAACCAAACCAAACTCACTGCTGTTGAGTCAATTTGACTCACATCGACCCCTCCTTGGTTTCCAAGGTGGTATCTCTATGGAAGTAGATTGCCCAATCTTCCTTCGAAGGAGGGGCTGGTGGGTTTGAACACCCACCCTTCTGGTTAGCAGTCAAAATGCCTTAGGCACTATGCCACCAGATTTCCCCTTTCAAGACTAAGGTGTGCCTAACCCAAGCCATGGTATTTTCAATTACTTCAGATGCATGTGAGAGCTAGACAATGAATAAGGAAGACCAAAGAAGAGTTGATACTTTTGAGTTGTGGTGTTGGCAAAGAATATTGAAAGTACCAGGGACTGCTACAAGAACTTACAAGTCTGTCCTGAACAAGTGCAGCTGGAATGCTCCTTGGAAGCAAGAATGGCCAGACTTCATCTTACCTACTTTGGTCCTGTCAGAAGGGGCCATTCTCTGGAGAAGGATATTATGCTTGGTAAAGTGGAAGATCAGTGAAAAAGGGGAAAACCCTCAATGAGATGGATTGACACAGTGGTTGCAATGATGGGCTCAGATATAGCAAGGATTGTGAGGCTGGCGCAGGTCCACGCAGTGTTTCATTATTGTACATAGGGTCACTATGAGTCAGAGCCGACCCAACAGCACCTAACAACAACATAATTGATGTGAATATCTTCATCTTAGAAGGTTAAAAAAATGAAGAACAGAGATCTCAGACCTTATTTATCTGAGTCTACTTTTTAGTGTCCTATTAGCAACTACAGGAGCTCTGGTAGCATAGTGGCTAAAGCACTTGCCTGCTAACCAGACGGCTGGCGGTTCAAACCCACCAGCCACTCTTCGGAAGGAAGGTTGGGCAATCCTACTTCCGTAGTGATACTGCCTCGGAAACCCAAGGAGGGGTTGCTATGAGTCGGGGCCGACTCAACGGCACATAACAACAACAACAACATGGTGATGCAGTGGTTAAGTGCTCAGCTGTCAACCAAAAAGGCTGGCAATTCAAGTCCAGGCAACTGCTCTGCAGGAGAAAGACCTGACAATCTACTTCTTTAAAGATTACAGCCTAGAAAACTCTATAGGCAGTTCTGCTCTGTCACTCTGTATCCCTAGGAGTCAAAAATCGACTCGGTAACACACAGCCACAACAACAGTAGAAAATTAGAAGCTTAAAGGATAACTAGTTAATTATGAAATAAAAATTGATTATCTAACCATTTGTCATGGGAATACCAGAATGGTACAGCTGCTGTGGAAAACAAGTAGTTCCTCAAAAAGTTAAACATAGAACTAGCCATCACAATCCTAGGCATATACCCAAAAGAACTGAAAGCAGGAAATCAAAGAGAACATGTATATTAATGTTCATTGCAGTGGTATTCACAATAGCCACAAATCAGAACCAGCCTATATGTCCATCAACAGAGGAATGGATAAACAAAATGTGGTATACACATACGACAGAATGTAATGGGAAATAAAGTCCTGATACTTGCTCAACATGGATAAACCTTCAAAACATTATGCTGAGTGAAATGTCAGTCATTTCACTCAGTAAATATATAGCTTGATACATGAAACAGGCAAATGGATATAGAGTCCAAAAGATTTCAGTAGTTATCAGAGGTGAGAAGAAAGGGGAGAAGGAAGAGTCTTTGCTTAGGGGGCACTGAGTTTCTGTTAATGATGATGGGTAATTTTGGAAAAGAACAGTGGTAATGGTTGTACAACATGATGAATGTAATCATCATCATGGAGTTACACATGTAAAAATTGTTGACTCTGCAAATATATATATATATATATATATATATATATATATATAAAACTACAATCAAAGTAAACAGATCAATAGAATAAAATTTATTAGACAAGAGAAAAATGATTATCTATGTATATGTATTAACCTCAGCCTTGATCTTCTTTAAGGAGGTCTAAAATCTCTGAAATTTGATTAAGACTATAGTAATAATAATCCAAGACACCTGAGACTATTCTACCTTCAACTATACTTTCACCAAATATGTAGTATGCATAATTAATTCACAAAACATTTACAATTTCAATAATAACCCTCTATCTGTTCACTGCCCATCTCCTTTGTAAATCAGAAGGCCTATATGAATCAACCCTCCTGCCAACACTATATACTTCTTATTGCCTAGGACTGTTTACTTTTATTTATCCCTGCCCAATATCTGGCCAGGAGCTCTGGTGGTGTCATGATTGTAACATTCAGCTGCTCACCAAAAGGTTGGTGGTTTGGAACCATTGGCCACTCCACAGGAGAAAGATAAGGCAGTCTGCTTCTGTAAGGATTTGCAGCTTTGGAGACCTTCTCGGGCAGTTCTTTTCTGTTCTAAAGAGTTGCTATGAGTTGACATTGACTTGATGACAATGGAGGGTATTATGCCTACTCTTTCATCAGCATAGCCTGAAATCTTAAATCACACAGTAAAATTAATGAAGTTCAGAATATTTTTAGATTAGAGAATATGATTTCATTTCTACCTCTTTAGACTACCTTCCTACGTTTATAGAGCACTTAACATTTCCTAAGAAATCACTAGCAAGGGCAAGTTTTACTTCTTCATGGACAGATAAATTAAGAGGTTAAATATCTTGTCAAAATTCATTTAGCTAGTAAAGAGGACTAGAACTGAGGTCATATGAACTAGTTAATATATTTTCAATGACTGCTTTCAAAGATTAATATTTTTAATATTTGGAAGGTGCAGATATTTTAAATAATTAAATTATTTACTGAAACAATGAAATGAGATAAAACTAAATAAATTAAAATAATTAAACAGATAAGTTGTGTTTATTAATGCAATCAGTGCATTAATATATGTAATCAATCATGCCACATTTGCAATGGCTTCAAAAATAATACCCAGTGAGACAAGTGAATTATTCATCAGAGTATTGTCTAACATAAATGTCAAAAAAAAAAAAAAAGTCTGGAAAGAAACTTACCATCAATAAATGAGATTCAAGAACCAATGTCTAAGCAACATTCATGATATCTTAGAGTACTGATATTTAAATTATATAGTTTATAACCATTTTGAAAGTCCACTAACATTTTTGATATATGGCATTGTTTATCAAAATTTGCAAGACAAATATTTGATCTAATTTTCCTTTTAGAAAATGCAGAATGTTTAGGGTATAGATTGTGTAGGTTATCAGCAACTGTTTTACACACATTTAGGAAAGATATGTGTTCGTAGTTAAATCTATGTGGCAAATTGGCTGTATAAATAACTAATAGATGGCAGCTTACACAGCATTGTTGAGAGAGAATACTATGCAGTAACTACGTCTGGTCTTACCTTCTGGGGAGGACTCTCCACTGTGGTTCCATAAATATTTCATGAACCAACATAAAGTAATATGCTAATGACAGACTATTTACCCAGTGAGCAGCTGCACTCTGATGCTTTTTCATCTCTGGTATACCTTTGATGTGGGATCAGTTAAGCCATTTTGAATTGTTCTTTCTTTCCTTCACCCTCACAGTTTCATCGAACCTAAGATGGTGAGCGAGAGTCATCATGAGGCCCTGGCAGCCCCGCCAGTCACAACAGTTGCCACTGTGCTAGCAAATAATGCCACAGAGCCAATCAGTCCTGGAGAAGGAAAGGAAGATACATTTTCTAAACTGAGGGAGAAGTTTATGAATGAATTGCAGAAAATTCCATGTGAGTATTATGTATTTCTAGTAAGGTAAAAAGAAATGGTTGAAATTTAAAGAAAGCAACATTCTTTTTAAAATACTAAAAGCTTACACTTATTTTTTATTACTATTGGGATGCAAATATTATAATAATAAAATTAATTATTCTTGGAAGTGAAATATTCTTCTTAACTCTTTAAATATACTTTTTGAATGAAAATCCAATTCATAAAAAATAATGTGTATCTTGTGTTTAAGGTAGCTTCTGTTTTTTATCTTCAATGTTAGTTTTCTCTCAAGAACATTAATGCTCACGAGTTGTATTGTATTTTGGATTTTTATTTATGAAAACATTCTGTTATAATTATAACTCCTAAGCAATAGATAAAATTTGCTTTCCCAATACTGGAACTCTGATTTCTTTTGTTTGATTGTTAACATTTTTAAATATTTTGCATAGTTGTAAAAAATTCTCTTTGATGTCATCAGGAAAAAAAGAGAGAGAGAGGGAGAAATCTGCACCTAGGTTTATTTGTATAAGTTTAGCACTAAATTCAAATGAGGTATTTAATCTAAATCTTAAATTGTAGGTTGATCATTTTTTTTCAGATTTTTGTGGAATTGGTAAATCTGAAGTTATTGAGTAAAAGACAAAATGTTTCAACCATTTAGCTTTGATTATTCTAATGACTTATCTTTTAATTCTAGAACACTGAAGTCTTATATCAATGTTTATAAATCTAAGAAAACTATCTTTTGTTTTCTGTAATTATTATATAAAACAGAAAACAGACTAGAGGCTCTTTAAAAAGAAATCAGATATTCCATTCATTCAGCAAATGTTTATTGAGCACCTACTATGTTCTAGGCACTTTTCAAGTACTAAGAGCTTATATTCTAGTGGAAAATAGGCATACTAAATCAATAAAGAGGTAAGTATGTATAGCATGTCATGTGGTGATAAATTATATTAAGAAATATAAATCACACAGGCAAATAATGGAATAGAGATGAAATAGAAAGTAAAGGATTGGTACTTCTTTTTTAGCATAATCAGGATTGGTTTCCTTGATAAAGTGCCGAAGGAAGTGGGGAGTAAACTATCATAACTTCCTGGGAAATTTGCTAGTCTGCAAATCTGCTTGGGACAGAAGGAAACTCATTGTGCTGCAAATGGGGTGTCCAAGGGGGAGGATGGCAGAAGAATGCTCTGAATGTAATAGAGGGTTACGTCACCCAGGCCTGGTGGGTTGATGGTTCTTGGCTTTCACTCTGAGTGAAATGAAATTCTGGTGGTGGATTCTAAGCAGAGGTTTCTCAGGATCTGACTTAGGCTTTTTAAAGATCACTCCTACTACTGCATTGAAAATGAATTGTAGATCAGCAAAGGCAGAAAATAAAGAACCAGTTAGCAGGCTGTTGTAATAATCCAGGTATGAAATGTATAAGATTTGTAAGAGAATGATTCTATAAGAACACTGAGAAACTAGATTAAAAATACAATAAATCAAATTCTTTCTTACCCCTAAATAATTAAAAACTTGTCAATTTTTCTGTCCATTTTTAACAAATTCATCTGAGAGATTCTTAGCACAACGCAAAACAAAATGTAACCATTGCCACGGAATCGGACCCGACTCATAGGGACCCCTCCTTAGGTTTCCGAGGAAGTATAACTATGGAAGTAGATTGCCCAACCTTCCTTCCGAGGAGTGGCTGGTGGGTTTGAACCTCCAGTCTTCTGGTTAGCAGTCAAATGCCTTAAGCATTACACCACCAGAGCTCCCATTCTTAGCACAGGTGGTGATAATTAGCATTCTCAGCGGGACAATCCCTAACCAAAAGGAGATGAAGATGGCCCAGTAGACCAAGCCCTAGGATGAGAATCACAAGGTCTCAGTTCTCTTCCTTGCTCTGCTGATGGGCTGATGTATAAAATCAGGTATTTTTGATATAACTTTGAAGTCATAGCTACAGGGCAGAAACCAAATTCCTATATCACTATGGGTCAAACTTTCACTAAGTAGTTAATCAAGATGTTTGCTTTCAGAGAAATCTGCTGGATGGAGGTAGAGAAAGCAATGAATAGCACTATTATCTTCTCTTCCCTGTTGAGGAAAAAATTACTGGAGAAAATATCTCTCCTTTCTTTTCCCTTACCAATATCATTTTATCCCTTCCCCAGCCAGTGCCCCTTTCGCATGTCCCATTCTTGGGCAAGACAGCAGATTAGGTAGTGTGTCCTCTTCTCTATGGATATTTGCTTTTGACCAACTTCCTGAAATGATGTCAGAGAATCTGAATAACTCTTAAAAAGACACTATGTTACTAGCTCTCTCCATGATTCAATAGAAAGAAACAAATTAAATACCTAAAATCTTAAAAATGGTATGGTAAATAAGTATTATAAAAAAAACTATTATAAATACAGCAGTGCAATTTTATTAAAAATCTGTTATCATGCATATTTTACACCTTCATTTTAATCCATCACAATTTTTACTGCTTGTGTAATTGAAATTTCTAATGGGATTTATATACAGGTAGCGACACTACACAAAAATAAAATATATCCCTAAAATCAAATTCCTTAGAGAATATGTTATACAAAGTTTATCACTTTTGACTTGGCATAATATAGCGTGACGCTAATGACAGGTAACAAATTAGAATATTAATCGATTTTGGTCTCTGAACTAAATCTTGGCTATCTGGCAGATGTGTTTTTTGCAAAATTGATAGCAAACAGCTTTAGTCTGTCACTTGAAATTCCCACTTGTGAGAAGAGAGGTGTCACAATGGCAAGGAGTGTTCATGTCATTAGTTGGGTAATCTGCACGGTCCAGCACTGAACATATTCAAACCAAATTGCCTGATGATATCATCCATAACACCATGGGACTTAAAATAAAAAAGGAAAAGGAAATGGTAAATGCTGAGGATTTTTATCTTTCAGTTCATTCTGCACACTGTTATCTAAATGAAGCAGACAAGGTTTTTCAGAATGTTTCTTTATTTTGCAACTTTGATTTTTTATTACTAGGGCTGTGGTTGGTTTGTAAAGCATGAACTCGTGTCATCAGAATAGCTATGATTAAGGTTTTGATATTGATAAGCTTCTTGAAGTAGAGTGCACCTTTCCTAAAGCACAACAGAAAACCAAATAGCCAGAATTTGAGTCTTAGTGCAGAATAGGAGCAAGTAGGATAAAAGTACTTACCTAATTCATGTAGAAAAATTATTGGATAGATATTATAATACAGAGAGTAAAACCATAGGTGCTGGATACAAATTTTATGAGTTCAAATCCTAATTCCTACACATAGCAGTTATGTGACTTTGGGCACGTAACTTGGTTTTTCGGTGTATTAGTTTCCTCCTCTATAAAATGGGTGTGAAAAGAATACTTACATCGTAGGGTTGTTGGGTAAAGGAGTCAGTGTATATAAACTGCTTGCTTAGCAGTACTTTGCACAAAGTAAGAACTGTAAAAATGTTAACTATGTCTAAAGTCAAGCTGTTATTTTAACATGTCAATATACATGTTAGAAAAACCCTCTATTCAGTCAGTCACCCAATTGAGAAGATTCTAAAAACTTTGTACAAATCCATGTTTGTTTTATTCTTTAAACCTACTCACTCCATCAATGCCTTTATTAGGGATGGTAAATCTCTTCTATTTCCTTTTCCCACTTTCTCTACCAATTGTCATTTTTTCTCTTCTGTAATTTTATTTTCTCACTTCTTCATTCCCTTTCCCCTATGCACATGCTAACGTTTCACCTATCTGAGAGTGACTAGAACAGTGCTATGCACAGCAGTTGGTTAAGAGATGGCTTTCTTCTGTCAAGCTGTAAGAATTTCTGCCCTTGACCTCACTCACCCCTCAGGCTAACATGCTAGCATCCTCCTGAATATCTCCACCAAACTTTTTGAAAAGCATAACTGGGACTCTGACAACTTGCTTGAAGTTCCATTAGCAGCTCAACCTCTTCCACGATCACATTTATCCTTTATGCACTACTAAAATTGTTTTCACTAAAGTCACCAGGTGCTTTCTGATGCACGATTATGAGGGATATTATCAATCTTCATTCAGTCACATATTTCTGCACCATTATCATTGTTGGCAACCGTCTTCTGGAAACTTTTCACCTTCTAGGACTCTCCTCTCCTTTGCTTCCCCTTCTTTCTCTCCTTATTCTTCTTCACTGATTTGACTCCTGTTTCACTGACTACTCCTTGTCCTTCCTTCTCTTAAATGGTAGAAGCGCTTGTTTCCTAGGATTCCATCTTTAATCTTATTCATATCCCATTCTACATGCTCTCCGTGGGAGGTCTCATTTGGGCAGCCATTCAAGTAAGTAATCTCCCCATTATCCTTGCCTACCCCCTCCACTTCAGCTACAATTCTATACTTGGGGTCCTTTGAGTCCTATTAATTTTCCTCCCAAAATACCTCTCAAAACCTGCCAGTACTTTCACACGCCATTGTATTCTCTCTTACTTTTCTCTTTCTAGACTCTCTTTCCTCATTAACCTTGATAAGTTTTGTTTGTTTTTCGATTATTCAGGAACCTCTCAATTGTTACACTGTGGGAGAAGAGTTAGTTCTTTCTCATGGTAGTATTATGCAAGCCTTCCTTTATTTTTAAAAGCACTGTATTCAAATGTCTCAAAATCATGGTTATCCATTTGTTTTTATTTTTGTTGTTGTTGTTTGTTTGTTTTGGCCTTCCTTTCCCCCTGAAATATAAATTTCTCCAACGTGAGGGTCATTTCTACACATTTTTGTATCCTTATACTTTTAAAATATCTGACATTAAACCAAACTTCAAACCAAACTCACTGCCATCAAGTCGATCCCAACTCATAACAACCCCCATTTGGTTTCTGAGGCTATAAATCTTTATGGAAATAGATCTCCCTATCTTCCTTCCATGGAGCAGCTGGTGGGTTTGCACCACTGACCTTCTAGTTAGCAGCCAGATGTCATCTCCACTACACCACCATAGCTCCTTGTCT